ACAATATTGGTGAGGACTTTTTGTTTTGAGACAAGTTATACTATGTATCCCAGGCTGGTTGTGTATTTGCTACATAGCCTCTACTGGCCTCAAACTCACACTCATGATCCTCTCCTGCACTATCCAAATGCAAGGATTACAGGTATGGACTGCCCCCCCCCCCCAACCCACCCCGCCCCAGGGCCTGACTCTCCACATACTGAATTTAAAAGGCAGCTTTCTCCAGCTGGGGATGTAGTTCAGTTGTTGAGAGCTTGCCTATTGGATCCCCAGGATCAGCACTGAAAAAAAAGTTTTTCTCTCTCAGGTTTTCTTAATGCTTAGTTAGCCCAACCTAGAAGACCATAATCAAAACTGCCATTTGACTCAAATGGACTCTACTCTCCAATTTAAAATTAGTAATTTTATTTTATTTTTTAAACCACAAGTACCAAAAGTTTTAATGGGGGGGGGGGGGACAGTACTGGGGTTTTGAACTTGCTAGGCAAGCAAATTCATTTTGCTTTTTATTTTTTTTTTAGATAGGATCTCACCCTTTTGCCTGGCCAAGCATTGGACTACCATTCTCCTATATCTACCTTCACGTAACAAGAATTACTGGCATGATTGATTTTCAATTACATACTTAATGTTCACATCATGTCATATGATTTGATATGGAAACAACTAATTTGCCTTCACTATGACAAGAAAGAAACTAAGGTAAAATTAGTCAGAAATTCCATACCTGTACTAAAATGGTGTTTGCTGGTAAACTGTAGCCACTGGGAAAATAAAACATGGAACCAGAGACCACTCTTTAATCTCTGCTCTGCCACATACTAGCTCTTTACTGTGGTCAAACTGTTTATAACCACGAAGTCTACATTTCCAGATATGCTAAAAGGAGGCTGACAAAATGCCTATAAATGGGGATACAGATTAAACAGTTGTAAACTAATTTAGCATACTGTACATTCTTACTAAATGTCAATTTCTTTTCTCCCCAAAGGCCCATTTTCTGCATACAGTCTCATTAAACCACATACAAACCACCAGAACACAATCTACAAAAGGTTTTGTTGTGTTTTTATTAACAGTAGAATGATTAAGTAAACTTGATGATCAACTACTTTTTATTGAACACTAGGAGTGTCATCCTAAACAGAACTTAAAACTTTATGCAGGTTTGCTAGGCACAAGGCACCAGAAGCTCATTCCTGTAATCTAAACTACTCAGATAGCTGAGAGGTGGGAATTGAGATTTAAAGCCAGCCCAAGCAGAAAAGTTCAAGAGATAGTATCTCCAATTAACCAGCAAAATGCTGGAATGAAAATGAGGTTCAAGCAGAAAGGGCAAGGCCTTGAATTCAAGCCCCAGTACCCACATGAATAAAGCACTTTATACATAAAAGCTTAATGAGAAAGAAAACTCTAATTCTAGTAACTTTCAAAAAAAAATAGCTACAAGAGACTCATCTCCAATTAACCCCCAAAAGCCGAAATGGAGCTGTGGCTCACCAGCCATGAGCAAAATGCTAAGGGTAACCACATATGCCTAGGCCCTAAGTTCAAGCCCCAGTACCAACACAAAAATAATTATCTACTATCATAGAACACTATGTGGCACAAGAAACAAGGACTATCTTACTCCCTTACTGGCTTCCCATTTCTCTTGGGAGTAGTAACTCTTTACAATGTTCATTTACACCCATCCCCACGCCCTAACATTCATACCTTATTTGCTCTAATGAACCTCTCTACACACTCTCATATTACTCCAGCCTCACTGTTCTTACTCTTCCTCAAAATCTCCACTATATTTCTGCATATACTCTATTTCCTTGGGTCCTTCTCCACTCCCACCATGCCTCAGCACTCCAATCCCCTTCCCCAGAGCACTCGACACCTTCTAACACAGTAAGAAAATTCCGAACTATACTTATTACTACTCTTTCCCTCCTAAAAGGTAACCTTCCCCAGAGCAATGTGTCTGTGTAGTGACATACACACCTATCCTCAGTACCTTCACCAGTATATGGCATGGGACACATATTCAATAATTTTCTAGATGAACCCTCCTTTAAAGTGCAACAAGTTCTGGACAGACAACCTGAAACAGATTTAGATTTACAAGTTCCTGTTCATGCAGAAAATGGGATCTTAAATTTCAAAGTCCATATAGTTTTAGTCATTAAAAATGTACTAATTAGAATCATTAACCACCCATTAATTCAAATTTTATGTCATAACATACCATAATATTTTAAGTTGTCTTAAGTATCACAATTTAATTTCAAATGAGGGCTGGGAAGGTGGCTCAGTGGTACAGCGCTTGCCTTGCATGCCTGAGGCCCTGGGTTCAATTCCTCAGCACCACATAAGCAAAAAGAAAAAAGCCGGAAGTGGCGCTGTGGCTCAAGTGGTAGAGCGCTAGCCTTGAGCTGAAGAGCTGAGGGACAGCGCCCAGGCCCAGAGTTCAGGCCCCACGACCGGACCCCCCCCCAAAAAAATTAATAATTTCAAATGAATATTTCAACCACTTCTCTAGAATTCATGTGATTTAAAAGACTTACAGGTACCAAAAGAACTGAAGGTACATCAGAAGAAAAATATTTCTGCTCTGCACTTGAACCTCAAAACTTCCTGATCAACTATAATCCCTCTGAACAGCATTTTTACAATAAAATAATTTTTTTTAAAAAATCTTCCTGAGCCTGATTTTCTTCTTCTGTGAGAGCTAATTAAATCTTTGAGACCCATTTCAGGTCTAAAAATTCCGATATTGAGTTTATAAAACCCTAGTAAGGTTTCACAATCTACACATTTCTCATACACTTAATAAAAATCATTAGAATAGCAAAGTTATTAAGCTGGTTAGACCTTTAGATATCATCAAATCCAATCCTGTAGTTTTGCATACTTTTAAAAAGACTTTCAAAAAAAAGTATGGTTTTAGTTTGAGGTTATTTCTGATCTCTCATGTAAAAGAGGTAATTGAATAATTCCTTATAGAAAAATCTTCAGGTATCTCATCATTTAGGTGTGCCCCAGAACTGACAATCTGATGTAGAAACTGCACTACACACCAAAAAAAAAAAAAAAAACAATAGCCCCAAGCAATCAAGAAACAATTACAAGTTCACAATGAAATATTTTAACCATAAAATTCTTATACAGCCCACGAGAGATTCTAAAGGAACAACTGTGATGATACAAACCGAGTTCAGCCAAAATGGAAAATGTTTTAATAAGATGCTGTTGACACCAGTACAAATACAAGACTTAATGGCTAAATTCCAAAACTATCTCATTTAATGTAAATTGAAGGACAAAAGTTTACAAGCTCTAATAACCCATGCTGAACACTTTGCTCACCTGAATTCATCAATTCAGAATTCCTGAAGAGGTGAAGAATCTCCTCAAACCTAGGATCCTAGGGAATGTGGCTCAATAGGAGAATACCCTAACTACAAGCCCTTCCGTGCACTTACTGTTTACCAAGGAACGCATTTCACTACTTCAAGATTGCTATACTCCAGTAAATACCTAGTGTGGAAAAGCTTGTGGAGTTTTAAGAGGCATGCCTATGAACCTGTCCAAATACTTAAGAAATTAGAAACCGTTGAGACTCCCTGGTGTAGCTTTTGGGTTTACATTTTAGTATCAGTTCAAACATTAATCTGTATTTCATAGGAAAGTTTTCTTACAAATACAAACGGTAAAGTCTCATGGGACTTACCATGGAACAGAAATCTTGAATATAGGGTAAACCAGCATACACATATCCATACACGACACCAAAATACTGCCAAGCTGGAGGATGGAACTAAATTAAGAGTCCTTTAGCGAAAATTACACAAAACCGAAGACAACAGGGCATTTCCTAACACCTAAACACGATCCACACCCTACTCAAAGAAGCGTTTATCTTCCCCAAGAGCAAAAGGGCAGTATCATTTTTACTATTCATACAGTAACCTAAGTGGAATTCCACTCAAGCCCAGTCTGTAGAATACCAAACCACACTTCTGGAAAAACAACAAGGAGCATCCACCCGGGTCAGCCACTTAATTACCGAAGTAAACAACTTGACTCCAAGGGTCTTCAAGCTTGGATGACTTTTTCTCCCAAACAAAAAAAAATCAGTAAATAAGGAGCAACTTGGCAAACTGTGGTTTTGTTGTTGTTGTTTTTTTTTAATCACAAATGGTCCCTAACTGCTATAATAAAGCGATTACTCCTCCCACCCGAAGCAAATAAAGTAGGTGCTCCAGAGGCAGCACGTCTGTTTCCCCTCATTTTTATAGGAAACAGGTTGCACTTCCGGACCCCCACCCAAGCTCAGCCGTCTCCCACGTTTGGAGAAGAGGTAAATAGAACCTCCACCAACTACGAGGCCAGGAAAACTCATTTCCTCCAAAAGCCTGGGACGCAGCGGAGGTGATGAGAAAGGGAAGGAGCTGGTGCCCCGCGCTCCCAGCCCCAGTGCCGGGAGACCTGCGGGGTGCAGGAGCCCGGGCGGCGCGGCGCGGCGCGGGAGAGGCGCGCCGGCAAAGTCGTTCTAACGCCCGAGCCGGCCCGACCCGGGCCGGGCGCGGAGCGGGGGAGAGCTCACCGGAATCCGGGACCCCCGGCCAGGCACAATGGGGCCAGCCCCGGGGACCCGGCAGGGCCGGGCCGTTGCCCCTTCCCCTCCCCCGCCCCAACGCCTCCCCTCCCCCCGCCCAGCCTGCGCCGGGCCCCGCCGGGGGCTCCCGCGCCCCAAACTCGCCGGAGCTCCCGACTAGGCCCGGCTCCGCTCCGCCTCCTCGGCTCTCGCGTAGCAGCGGCGCCCGGGCGGGAAGGGGCGAAGGAGGAAGGGAGCGGCGGGCAAGCAAACCCCGGCCCGGAGAGCGGGACGGAGGCCGCGGGGCCGGGGCTCGGGGCGGCGGGGCCGCCGCGGGACCGAGGGCGGAGGGCGGCGGGCGGGAGCGCGGCGGGGCGGGCGGGCGGGCGGGAGGGCGGCCGCAGCGCCTCACCATGTTGGTGTCCTCCAGGCCTCTCCCCTCCTCCTCCGGCTCCGCAGCGAATGGACGGCGGCGGCGGCGACGGCTCCTCTCACGGGCTCGCCGGGCTCCCGCTCATGCGCAGTGCGGGGCGGCCCCGGCGCGGCCCGCGGAGGCTGCCCCGGGCCTCGGGAGGCGGAGGGACGCGGGTGGCGGCGGCGGCGGCCGTCGCGGGCTTTCCCGGGCGCGGGGGTCCCCGGGCGGGGGCCAGGGGGCGGGCGAGGGGGTGGGCGGGACGGACGGTGCGCGTCCTCCGCGCGCCGACATCCTCCCGCCGCGCCGCCGGCCTCCCGCGCGGCAGGGTGGGGGCGCCGAGGGACACCCCACCTCCGCTTCCTCCGCCGCCGCTTCCGCCCGCGCCCCGCCGCCTCGGCGCGGGCCCGGGAGACCTGCGGCGGCCGCGAGGAGCGGGCGGCCAGCGCCTGAGGGATGGCTGAGGCTCGCGCGCCACCCCTCCTCGCCAGTACCCAAAGCAGTGAACGCCGTGCTGTCCCCGCTAGTGCCGCACACGCCGGGCTCCGAGATCTGGTCTGCATCAGTTTCTCCACCTGAACGATCCAGGGGAGACCTTCGTCTAGCCGCCCTTGAGTGTGGCAGGGGCCTGGGGGAGGACTGTGCGAGGCCACGGCCCAAGTTCAGGACGCGAGATGGGGCCTAGCCTGCTGCTGCATGCTCTGCAAAGCCAACCTTCCCTGGACAGGTTTTGGGGGGGCATCTTTACCCTCAGGATTAACTTCACCCGAGGTAGAGGAATCTGACCTACCTCTGGGTTCTAAGTCTGCTTAAACTGAGGAGTTAACAGAATTCTGAGCTGAGAACCCCGTGGACAAATATATACTCGCAAGGACTACAAAAGACTTGCTCTTAAGAAAGAGAAAGCACCTTCACATACAAAGGACGGAAAGAAGGAAATGGACATCCCCACGCAGAAAATCACAACTGAGCTGAGTCAAGAGTTTACATGCATTACATAATAATACCATCCTGAGTAGCCTCTCTTTTCCACACGACACAAGCGGAGCTACCAGATCGGTCCTAGAACATAGATATTCTTAAAACTACTCTTATGGTAACTCCTAACACCTCCTGGAAACAGCCATGCCCTGCGGATCTTCCAATCTCTACTAAGGCAGAGCATTAATTCATTCTCTCCACCAGCATAACAAACTTCTTGCTAGATTCTAGGGAAACAGGTCTGCAAGAAAAGGCAAGAGGATGTACGCATTATCCTGCCCATGTAACTGTAACTCCTCTGTACAGTATGTTCACAAATAAAATTAAATTAAAAAAAAAAAAAGAAAAGGCAAGAGGGCTGGAAGGTGGCTCAGTGGTAGAGCGCTTGCTTTGCATGCTTGAGGCCCTGGGTTCGACTCCTCAGCACCACATAAGCAGAAAAAGCCAGAAGTGGTGCTGTGGCTCATAGCTCTCCTTCTACTTAAGCTCTTTCCTGCACTAAAACACTTCCTCAAAGTTCCAGCATTTTCTATGATTCAGTTTTCTTCTATGTTTTCTTCCTCTGTGACCACTACTTCCTGGCAGGCTGTACTTTCTTGATCTTAAATGTTGGGCTTTCCAGAAACCTGCCTGGGTTATGTCCTCATGTTCCCACAGTGATAACTGCCTATGTCCCAAGCATTCCAAAATCTTAACTTCTAGCTCCAGAGGTCAGGCCTACACCTAATTCTGGCCATTTTACAGGCCACAGAAACTCAACAAACCCCAAGTCCCCAAGCCTCTTTCCTGTCTTTTCATCAGATCATACAAAGTAGGAATTAAAGCCATCCATAACTTTCTACTTTATCTTTAAGCTGTTGTCACTTCTCACAAGTTTTTTCTCCTCACTTTGAAATGTTGGTCTACCTTCCATTTTAGCCAAGATTTTATCATCTCCTTGTCAGTGGCCTTTTTTTTTTTTTTATAGACAGTGTCTCACTACGTAGCCCAAGCTGGCCTCAAAATCCCAATCTCCCTTCCTCAGACTCCAGAGTGCTGGTGTGCACCATCAGAATCCAGATGTGTACTACCAAATCCAATTAACTAATTGCCTGTCCTCTATACTGTTCCAGAGCTTGTCTTTCTGTAATGCAAATCTGCAATTCTTCTTGAAAACTTTCCAAGGACTGACTTATCATGAGCCTCTCTGGTGTAGCCTAGGAGGTCCTCTACCTGTATCCATCTATTTTCCTTGCCCCTTATTATGACTCTCCACCCAAATATAACTCATTTTTCTGTTTTAGCAAGCTTAGTTACTATACTTCTTGTTTTTTTGGTTTCTCTCATTCTGCTACTCCTGGTACACTAGCCAGCACTTGGCTAAGGACTTTTCCTGTATCATGCACTGTTCTAAGCCCATGATACTCTCTTCTACCTCACTTCAATTGGCTGAGTTATGCTCAGTAATGCCTATTTCATAGGAGACAGAACTGAAGCCCAGAGAGATTAAATAACATGTGTAAGGTTCCACATCAAGTAAATAGTAGAGCTGGGATTTAAACTCAGCCTGGCCACAATCTGTTCTCTTACCCACCACAATGTATTTCATACCATGACCTCAATAATCAACTCAAAGAAGAGCTTCTCAGTGACTGTCTCCTGACTAATCCCTGGATTCCATTAGTTACGCACATTTTCTTCTTCTGCACTTCTTTGCCATCTCATATATACTTTATAATTTTTATTTTTTGCCAGTTTCTGAGGCTTGAACTCAGGACCTGGGCACTGTCCCTGAGCTTCTTTTGCTCAAGGCTAGTACTCTACCACATGAGCCGCAGCACACAGCACTTCCGGCTCTTCCTGTTTATGTGATACTGAGGAATTGAACGCAGGGCTTCCTTCATGCTAGGCAAGCACTCTACCACTAAGCCACATTCCCAGCCCCTCATATATACTTGTTATATCATGTGGTAATTATTTGCCTCCACAACCACCTCCCTCTGCTGTATCGCAGAGACCCAAGTTACACAGATCTTTCAGTTTTCAGTGTCAAAGCGTGGGCTGATCTATGTAACATATATGTATCTATGTATATGCTAGCTGTCTTAAGTCTGTGCTAAGGGCTGTGGGTATAGCTCAGTGGTGGAATGCTTACATAACCTGCTCCAGGCCATAGGTTCCTCCAGGACCTAGGTTCAATCCTGTACACCACCAAAAGAAAAAAAAAAAGAGCCCATATTGTTTATTAAAGTGATGGAATGGCCCCTGACAGATATATGTTGTACCACGTGGTTAGAAAGTAAATGTAGGAACAACTGGTCCCATCTCTGCACTTTCTAGCTCAGAACTGAATGTGAAATAGGGAATAATTCCTCAATCATCATCATATTTGTTAAAAATTTTTAAATGGAAGAGAGTAGTGAAGGTAAAGCATAAATTTTTTCCATGGGGTTTCAAATATGTGATGTAAGGCTTTGAGTTTTCAAAGTACAGAATTATTAAAGATTACTTTTTTGGAGTTGATCATGGGGCTTGAACTCAGGACCAGGGCGAGGTCCTTGAGCTCTTTTGCTCAAGGCTAGCATTCTACCACTTTGAGCCACAGAGCCACTTTCAGTTTTTGAGTGATTAACTGGAGATAAGTATCTCACAAGGACTTTATTGACTGGGCTGGCTTTGAACTGAGATTCTCAGATCTCAGCCTCCTGAGTAGGTACAGGTGTGAGCCACTGATGCCCAGAGATTATTTATTTATTTATTTATTTTTGGTAGTGGGGTTTGAATTCTGGGCCTCCGCGCTGTCCCTCAGCTCTTCAGCTCAAGGCTGGTGCTCTACTACTTGAGCCACAGCACCACTTCCTGTTTTCTGGTGGTTTATTATAGATAAGAGTCTCAGGGACTTTCCTGCTGGGGCTGACTTTGAACCATGATCTTCAGATCTCAGCCTCCTGAGTAGCTAGGATTACAGGTGTGAGTCACTGGCACCCAGCCAGAGATTACTTCTTAGGCAACAAGCTCAATACAATTAAAAGAAATGAGTCAGGCACTAGTAGCTCTCCTGTAGACCTAGTTACTCAGGAAACTGAGATTTGAGGATTGAAGTTCAATGTCAGTCCAGGCAGGAAAGTCTGTGAGTCTTCAATTAGCCATCAAAAAAAAATTTCTTTTTAAAGCCACAAGTGGAGTTATGGTTCAATTGATAGAGCTACACTAGTCTAATGTGAGGGTCACAGTACCAAGTTCACTCTAAGCTCAAAAGTACCTTGGGTAAAAAAGCCAAGTGAGAGCTTGGCGCTGGTGGCTCACGCCTGTAATCCTAGCTACTCAGGAGGCTGAGATCTGAGGATCATGGTGAGATCTTATCTCCAATAAACCACTAGAAAACTGGAAGTGGCGCTGTGGCTCACACCATAGAGCACTTCGCCTTGAGCTAAGAGCGCAGGGAAAGCACCCAGGCCCAGAGTTCAAGTCCCATGACCGACAAAAAAAAAAGCCAGTGAGAGCATGAGGTCTGAGTTCAAGCCAGTTCTGACACACGAACCAGTTTCTCTCTCTCTGTCTTTCACACACACACACACACACACACACACACAGACACACACACACACACGAAGGAGAAAAGAAAAAAGAAGCCAGATGTTGGTGGCTTACGCCTGTCATCCTAGCTACTTAGGAGGCTGAGATCTGAGGATTGTCAGCTGAGGAATCTGTGAGACTCTCCAATTAAATACCAAAAGCCTAAAGTAGAACTGTGGCTCCAAGTGGTAGAACACTTGCCCAGAGCACAAAAGTTCAGGAACAATGCCCAGGCCATCAGTTCAGTCCCAGATCCAGAAAAAAAAAAGCGGTGTGGGGGGGGGGGGGGGGGGGAGGAAGGGAAGGAAAAGAAAGGAAGGAGAAAAGCAAATAGAATAATCCAGCTTAAATCTATCTTCCCTCCTTCCCTCTGTTTACACGTGTGCGTATGTGTGTATGTGTGCGCGCGTGCGCGCGCACACACACACACACTGTACATATAGCTATATTGAAAAACATAGTATCTGTACATATGTGCTATTTTAAAGTAAATAATCTGAGGATAATTGTTGCTGCAAAAGCTTAAAATTTTATGTATAGATAAATATTCACTGATAAAATAATTTTAACTGTTTAAAAAATGTAAAGCTAAGGATCCTGCACTTCTAGATTCTGTCTTTAACAGAAAGAGCACAAGAACTATGAAAAGACAGATTGC